AAAATAAAATCTGTCACTGCCTCCATGTCTTCCCCTTCTATTTCCCAGGAGGTGATGGGACCAGTGGCCATGATCTTAGTTTTTTTGATGTTGAGTTTCAGACCATTTTTTGCACTCTCCTCTGGATTGCTGCCTTGTCATGGCGAAGGGGCTTGAGTAACTCAGGGAAGCTATGGGCTATGCCGTGCAGGGACACCCAAGACGGACAGGACATAGTGGAGAGTTCCGACTAAACGCAATCCACCTGGAGTACGAACTGGCAATGCCACTCCAGTATCTTTGCCAAGAACGCGCCATGATCAGAAACAAAAGGATATTATATATATATATATAAAATCTCAGTTTTAATTGTTACGAATTTTTATTGTATTTTAAATGTTGTAAGTCGCCCAGAGACCTTTGGGTAGTGTGGATGGCATATAAATAAATAAATAAATAAATAAATAAATAGATAGATAGATAGATAGATAGATAAATAAATAAATAAATAAATTTTGCCCATGTTTGGAGGGGGACAACAGCATCCAAGGAGACATCACACCACTCCAAATTTACTTTTAAAAAATTGGCCACTAGAGAGCACAAGGGGCTTTTTCATTAAAAGTATAATTTTTCTAAGAAATGTTTTGGGGTTGGGGCAATGGGGGCATGGGTGTGGCCTTCCCAAGTCCAGATATGAGTTTGTGTGGACCCCAGACTTTAAAAGATTTTCCATCTGGTGTAAAATGATGATGATTAGTATTTGCCATCAAGTTGATTCTGACAGTGACTTTTTGCAGGGTTTTCTAGAGTCTGGAATCTAGTCAAAAGTATTCAGAAGTGACTTATTGTTTCCTCCTTTTGAGGAGGACATTCCTTGAGACTGTGCAGCTTGCCTGAGGCCACACAGATTGGCTCTTTTTTATTTTATTTTATTTTTTGAGGCATAGTGTACAATCAAACTCCCAACCTTTGGTGCTCCATCTCAGTGAGTTTTCCAGCCACTTGGTGTAAGGCTTTAATTTCTGACTGCCATGATCACTGTGTGATTTTGAAACAATCATTATTTTGTAGCCTGACTTGCAGAGCTGTTGTGTGAATAAAATGGAGAAAGGGAATACCCACCTGGAGAAAATTGCATATAAAAATGCAATTAATAATGAAATTAAATGAAAATAATTGGAACAGGATGGTGAATTGTTACTGAGTGCAATTGTGCATGTGTATGCCTAATTGTTAATCAACAATTGACTTGCAAGAGGTGTTTCTACAAGTGATGAAAGAGAAGAGACATGTAGGATTTTTAAAAGAAAAACATTACACAAATCTCCACAGATCTCTTGCATAATCATAAAACAGAAACCCAATGTGAGTTATTTTTAAATGGGGTCTGTCAATGCCAAAATTCTCTCTTGTTTGATGAAATGTCATACCACCTCTTGTTTTCACATTTTCTTATTCTTGTTCCCCTACCTGGCTATTCTGCAGAAAAAAACAAATGAACACTGCAGTCGATGTGTGGGTTTCAGTTTGTGAATCATACTGGCACTTCCAGATACATGGAAAACAAACTTGCAAGGTATTGGAAAGTATTCAGTTTTTTTTTTTCTTTCTTGCCCCCTTAAAAACTTTTCAGTTTTTTTAAATGCAGCTTTGTTCAGGTACTCATTTTTCTGAATACTCAACTAAAATTTGAAATCTTAGGAATACGTGGATTTTTAATGACAAATGCTTGCTTCTAAATACTCAATGTTACAACAACTAAAATTTGAAATCTTAGGAATACATGGATTTTTAATGACAAATGCTTGCTTCTAGCATATTTACCTTTTGTGAAAAGTGTGAATAAGAGCAAGAAGGGGAAAGGGAGAGGGAGAGAGAGTGCACGCAGGTAATGCATGGACACACACATGCACACACGTGTGTGTGTGTGGAGTGCACACAGGTAATGCATGGACACACACATGCACGTGCGTGCGCATACATACACGTATGCATGCACATACATACAGAATTTCCTGTATTCTGCTCACTCATCAGTTTATGCTGTTTTGTACTGCTACACTCCATTTACAAGGAATGTTCAGGCCCTGTCAGATGGTTTGCATCCATGGGAAGACAAGGTTATTTGTGCAAACTGCCTCCGTGTAAAATGAGCATCTTATTTTCAAAAGCAAAGCACCAGGTACACACAGCAAGCACAGAAGGACCAAGTGAATGGGGTATGTGTGTGTGAATCACACCTTTGGTGCTTCTGACCCTTAAAATCTATACAATGAGGCAACTATAATCTTTTCGTCCTCATTCTTATCTCTTTTGAAGAGCAGCATAGAATGTGTCTTCGTCTCATGGGACAAGAAGAATAAGTCCTCATCCTCTTGTGGGAGGTTGAGACAAGCAAGAATTTGCCTCCCTGTTACATTCCCGACAATGTAACATATTCACACCTAGATAGAGAGAACCAGTCAAATGGATGCTTCTGCAGCTTTTCTGTCTTTCTGGAACAGGAAGACAATGGAACAGGTAGTGACAGCAAGAAGACCCCAGGGCAGGGAGAGATGCCAAAAGCTTGGCAGCCGGTTCTTTGGTCCTGGCTGGAGGATTGGGGGATATGCCGTTTGCCACTCTATCTCGTGTTGTAAAATGTTGGGCCTCAGGTCTGCTCCAGCCACAAAGGATGTATTGAACAAGTAACACTACTGTTTCTTATAATACATCCACCTTGGCTTCTCACATATTCCTTGTTTGTTCAATACTGGCAAGCTTGCCTGAAACAGCAGTTTCCTTAGCCTTTGTAGAAGCCTGACTTTGGCCGCTAGAGGTCTCACTATCTATTGTTACCAACAAGTCATTTGAGAAGTTTTCCTAGCAGTACACCTGAGCCCCACAGGTGGATTCTGAGGAAGCAACAGGACTTTGAGTCTGATTCCTCTGATAGTCGGGTGTCCTCCTGCTGTTGTGAGCTGCCTTTGCTTTATGATTATCCTTGATCAATTGCAGGATTCTGATGGGATGAATCATTCTAGCCATTTCTCATACTGTTATCAGGCTAAAAAGAAAGCTATTTCCTCCAGCAGAATTCAAGGAACTTGTATTCCCCACCTTCTAAAGCAACTTTACCAATTAAGTCACGGACAAAGAACTGCACTATAGGGCAACAACTTTGGTGTCAAAATTTTTTTAATATTTAACAAACAGGGTCTCGATGCATGTGGAAAATATTTATAGAATCATAGAAATCACAGAATAATGGAATTGGAAGGGGCCATCAAACCCAATTCTAAGTATATCTGACAAGTGATTGTAGGTATCTTAATCAATAGTTTGGAAAATGATTTTTATTTTTATAAAAAAAACCCAGACACATGGGAATTGTAATCCAAAAGGTACAGGTAGGTCAGCTCCACATGCATAACACAGTTATGCTACAGTTGTGTGAACATTCCCTAAGTGGGGTAGAAGAACAAATAAGTATGATCTATTATGGCATTGAAGTATGGATTTCACTGAAGTTATTATGGGCCTGAGGACGTCTCCAAAGGTGGCACGCAAGGATCAACAGAGAAAGTATAAATGGCTCACATAGTGTCCTAATTCCAGGCAGCATGTGTCAGACCCTGGGTGGGGCAGTCCAAGTGACGGCAGCAAACCCTTCTGGGACTAATAAGCAGCCCATCCACTCCCATGCACTGCTGATATGGGTCATAGGATGTTACCACGATGAAGGAACTACATCTGGAGTAATTTACTCCTGAGGAATTCAGCAGTGCAGTCTTGTATATCTTCTGGGCATGGCCATTCTGCCTTAGCTCCAAGAGTTGGGGTTTGGGTCTCAGTCACTGAATGGGGGCTTATCTAAAAGCAGCATGATGCATTGCCTCTTTGGATGATTCTACCCAAGTAGAAATTCACTGGTGCACCAAGTATAAGCAAAGCAGTCCATCGCTGTGCCACTTGGCTAAACTTGCTTCCTCTGTCACTGTTTCTCTGTAATGGTCAAACATTCAGCTACATTCCCTAAATAAGCCTCTCTCTACCTTTTTAAAAAAAGATTCACCCTTTTGGTAAGGATATAGATCTTATGCTTTCCTTTAAAAAATCATCCACCCATAACTTTATTTGAAATTTGAAATGATGAGAGTTGGATACAGAGAGGCAGGTGGACAACAGGTAGCTAGGCATTGGCCTCCCAACACTTCATCTGCTACCACCACTAAGGGAAAAGGTTTACTTTTTTGTGTGCCAATGTGCTTTATTTTATGATTGACAACTGGAAGGTAAACACAAGTTTACTGTGAAAGTGTCATTGCTGAGGCATACATCCCCAAGGAAATCTTGTTGGTGCAGGGAACATGTATTAATCAGAAGGAACACACATTTACTTTAATGTTAAATTTGAACCCTGTCCCATTTAAACTGGACTTCTGAGCCACCATGCTCAGAGCAACTTATCTCTTGGGCCAAATGCTCAGCAATGGCAGTGGGAGTTGATTATCAGCCCCCAAAGCTAACTAAGCAGAGATCAAAAGCATAGCACTGGCAAAACAGTGGGCAGCACACCTCCCCTTACATTCCAAGCTATCCAGGGAAGTTTGGTTGCCCCTTCCTAGCAAAGAACAGAAGTGATCCTTATTAAAATGACTGTGAATCCTTGGACTATCACCAGCGCTCTAGCCTCACAGGAAAATGAGGGGACCCCAGTGTCCCCAGTTGAAGACCAGTGCCAGGTGTAGTCAGTGTCAACACCCAGCATCCTCTGGCATCTGCCTAGTGCCTGCCATGCCCATAGTAAAGGGAGGGCATTTAGGGACCTTCTGCATAGATGTCATGCAAGTTTGTGGGACAACCAGAGAAGACACTGCAGTATTCATCCCAAACCGTAAATGGTAATCATGTACATTCTCCCCTTCTAGAACACTGGGGGTTTGGAGTAGTTCAAAATCCACGTATAACTCCTATGGCCCCCCAGAACATAACTAGGAATCATAAACAGCTAATCAACACGAATACACACATACACGAATACAGAACAGATGAATTTACCCCAGCACCCTGCCCAGTTGCCACATGCAGCCACCATGCCAGGTGAGGGGGGCTAGCTGAGTCGCCACCATTGAAATGGGAGCCACCTCACCAACAAGTAAGTCTGAGACTCGCCTTTCTCAGACCACTTCCTGGACATGAATAGCATCACGGTATTTATTGAAGATTGATTGATTGATTGATTGATTGATTGAATGAATGATTTTTTAAAAATCTCTGTGTAACCAAGACCAGGCTGCTCAAACCTGTGCAATTCAAGGGAGACGCATCACGGTATTTATTGAAGATTGATTGATTGATTGATTGATTGATTGAATGATTTTTTAAAAATCTGTGTATAACCAAGACCAGGCTGCTCAAACTTGTGCAATACAAAGGAGATGTCTAGTTAAGTTCTGAATCGTTCTAGACAATTACTTTGTTTCTTCCTTCACATCCTTGCGTGACTTGCATTCAAGGTGTTTACCTTCTCCTAGATGCCAGACAGGGCATAAGAATAATAATTCTAAAAGTCTAGTTAAGTTCTGAATCATTCTAGACAATTACTTTATTTCTTTCTTCACATCCTTGCATGACTAGCATTCAAAGTGTTTACGTTCTCCTAGATGCCAGACAGGGCATAAGAATAATAATTCTAAAAACCCAAAGAAATCTGGAGGGAGACAGGAAAGGGAATATAGATTCAGCAACGCAAATCCTATGTTGGTGACCCCTGGTTTCCAAACTGGGGCAGGGTGGATGTTGATGTCAGGGCTGGGCCTCCTATGCAGCAAGATGTGGCAATTTTCTTCATGCAGTAACTGTGATGGAAGGGTATAAAAAAAGAGGCCAGATGCATTGTCTGAACGTACGAGAATTTTTTGTGCCACTCTAGCTATGGAAAGGGAAAACATTTGGGTTCCAGGCAGCAAAATGTGCAGTATAAGAAGGCTGATGCTTAAGAGGAAGTTGTCCCCACGTGAAACATCTTTTCTTTCAGGTCATTGTCTACATAGTGCTAGAACTAGTTACTCTGTTTAGCTGTATAGCCCCAGGAGATATCAGGGTTGGGCTTGTCTGTATATATTTTTTTCAAGCAGAAAAAGGTGCTAGTTGTTTGGCTTTTGTCACTTTTCCAAAATGAACCTGTCTCTCAGAATTAAGCTCAGTTTCAAGATTGCAGGTAGAAGTAGAGAATGCAATTAAGAGTGATTAGCAGAGGATTATTCGACTATCTGATACACTGGTGTAAATGTTCTCGGCCCCATTTTACTCATTGGTGAGGGATTGTGGATCATGGTTTTACTAAGACTAGCAGAATAAAGCTGAAGATGAGTAGATAGAATCATAGATTAATGGAGTTGGAAGGGGCCTATAAGGTCATTGAATCCACTGCTACCACCCAGCTCAATGCATGAATCAAAATAAAATATATCTGTCCCTGACCCTGACTCCTGATGGCTGTTCTTTACTATTCAAAACATACATACAATACTAAGCTAAAAACAGTGATTGATACTGCAGTTTGGCTCACAGAGGTAAGGAAAGGCAAATGTT